ATTTCTAATTTCCTTATAATTTTACTTAATATTCATTTACATTCGTCCATTACGAAAGTTATGCATGTAAGGAGAAAACAGCACTACAGGCTGAGAAAAACAAAGAGCCGTTGGGGAGAAATTTTCGCAGACAGGAGCGAACGGTGAAAGGGCTAAATTTGGATCCTGGAGAGGAAACGCGAGGGTAAGTTGAAGAGTTCAGAAATGATAATAAAAATTTGAATAGTTGATTAAATGAACCAAGCGACACTCTACAACCTTAAAGTACATATATTTCTACAACCTTAAAGTACATATTCTTCTAGTTGCAAAATCTATGCCTAGTTTTTTCCTTCAAAATTTCCAAAGAAATGTGTGAATTTGTATAATGGCCCTTTTGGAGTTTGGCATATTTCTTATAAGGGCTAATAACGTGGAATGTGGTTTACGAACCTTGTTGAAATTATTTGCAAAAATAAACGGTGCACCTTTTCCGTTCGTGCATAGTGAGAAAAGGGAAAAGAAGTTAGGTTATTATAAATTAAGAATTTTGCCAAGTACATTAGTCTGGGCGAAAACTGAAAAAAACTTTCGGTAAGTTTTATTTTACCAGATATTACAAAATTTAATATTTCGGCATAACGTGAGTCGTTGAATCAAAATATGGAAAAAATTCAGTATGTCACTGCAGAAAAAAAATTGAATTTTTGGCAAAATACCTATATTAGAACAATGCTATACATAAATCTGATACATGAAATATGCAAGTTAAATGCCATCAATCGGGCCAGTAGAACGGGAGATACAGAAAGAACTGTGCCACTTTTTTTCTTATGCGTAATGTACTTTTGTGTTTCAGAAAAGTATCATATTATTAGCCTTATCAGATTGGATTATTTACGAAAATGTAACCTGACTTCGAAGATATATGTTTTAATTTTCAAACGTTCGTGCATTTCTTCATGTATTTGGCTCACATATGTTGATATTCTTTTAATTTTTTAAACGTTTCAAAGCAGAAAAATGTTGTTATCACTTTTTTAACTCTTTCAAAGTGTTACAAACGCTTAGATTATTTTGTTCATACGATGACACACTTAAAAATTAAATGCAAAACCTTTCAAATTAAAATTCCTTTTCACTTAATTTTAAGTATTAATCAAAAGTAACTGTTTATGAGTTAGCAGCATCAGATAAAGTTTTTATTCAAGGAGGTAAATAATATATTTCATAACTTTCATATCTAATTAAGTAAATAAATAAATAAAAGCTTAAACATTAGATGAAAAAAGTTTAGATTATCCTGAAAAAATTTTGAACTAAGTTTAAAAAGAAAATCCAGAGAAAATATTACATTTTAGGAAAGTGAGGTACAAATTGAAAAATAAAATATATTGAATAATTCTTAGAAATACTACTTTAAAAACTTAAAACTATGTAAATTAATCATTCATATTTTAATGCATCAGATCGACATTTCAAGGGCTAATAGTTCAGATATAATAATAAATAATAATAATAACAAAACAATGGTATAAAAAATAATAAATAATAATAATAACAATAACAATGGTATAAAAATAAATAAAATAATAATAATAACAATGATATAATGATAAAGTAAGTAAATAATGATTAATAAAGATAAAGCAAATAAATAAAGATATACGTATTTGTAACATAAAAGTTTTTGCGAAATATTGCATCGTAATCTAAAGTTTTAAAATTACATGTCTTTCCCATGTAAATAGAATATTTTAATTGCAGGTTTTAACAAAAACCGAAGATCTGTGCTTCCAGAAAGCTAAACGCATTGTTTCTAGAAGCATCCTTAAACAGAAGAGAGCCGACTATTGTATTTCTGCTTTGTCAAATCCTCCTTTCTAAACACTATGCCGCTCTCCTTTTGTGACGAAGTTCAGTACCTCGTAGCAATGTTACATAGCTGAAACCTTTTACTATATATCTTAATAATAGAATTTCGCAGGAACTTCTTTCTAGCATCGATTTTACAGTTGAAACTTTCGAAGCATTATATGCATAAAACACTTGTGCGACCTTTCCTGTAAAAGTTAAATAAAAATAGCATTTTATATGTGGGGTTCATACAAATTACTGCATTGCCAATCCTGGATATTCAGTTTCTCCCTCCCCCACCCATTATCTGTACATTATCAGTAGTAGCAACATTCACACATCTCTTAAAAGTTTCATAATTAATATATCAGATTAAATATGTCAAATTGAAGATTAAACCTGTGTGTTTTAAGGAATGGACTTAGAATAGACTGAGCGACTATAAAATCCGTGGTAAATAAACATGTGTGCTTAAGCTCAGTTAAAAAAAAAAAACTGAAATGTTTCAGATTTTAAATTACGTCCAAAGGGATGTTTTTAACGTTTTGTGTGTTACCTTTCTTTATTAAATATCATGTTCTTTAAGATGCAGTTCAACAGCAATATCGCAAAAGAGTTTTAAAATGAGCATATCTTTAAAATTTCCCATATAGAGATTCATGCACTGGAGACAAAAATGTTTTTTCTGCATAACGTTGCCATTGTTCGCTTTGAAATCCTTGAGTTTGTTACTCAAAAATTCGTTAAAGCTTTACAAAATAGGAAATCGATAATAAAAACAAATTCTAAATTTCAAATTTGGTCTTCCACATGTCCATATTCGTTGGAGGATTACGTCATTCAAAATTCGATAGCTCTTTGTACCGTTATTTTATCACAATGTGAGAAATAGACATACATTTATGCAGATTTTTCATTATTTAATTTCTTCAGATATAATGCAGGATTCTAACATTTTGTGGCAACAGTTTGGAAAGTGAACCGACATTTATAAGAGTCCGAAGCAAAATGCCAAAATGAAAGTAATAGTCCTTCGGTATTCAAATACTTTTGGACTAAAAAAAAAAAAGATTCGCTTATGCTAAATACGTTTCTTTTTTTCATGATTATAATTTTGGGGGTAGATTTAGTTCTACAGGATTTCAAACTCTTTGCTTTGTAATATTTTAGTAAAACTTCAATAATTTCATCTTATCTCATAAACCTTGTTCTGAGTTTCAAATAAAATTTTATTACTTTGATACATAACCAAGAAAAATAACTTTTACCAGACAGTAAACTAATTGCTTAATTTAGTAAGGCTGCAAAGAAAGTTTTTACATATCTTAAATTATATATAAGATAAGCTTTTTAGATTTTATGTCAAAATTATTCACCTTGTTCCCTGCACATCAAAATCAATTAAGAAGTCTATTATCTCGCGAGCTGGAGATAATTTTTTTTGACATTGCTCGCTTTGAAATCGTTGAATTTGTTAATCAAAAATTCGTTTAAGTTTTATAAAATTTGAAATACACAATAAAATACTTAAAAACAGCATATTTTAGAATTTCCAATGGACAGTCTCTCTCGCTTGAGAAAAAAAAAAAAAAAAAAAAAAATTCCCATACACTGTTGCCATTGCTTGCATAGAAATAATTGAGTTTGTTAATAAAAATTTTGTTAAACTTTTACAAAATATGAAATAGGTATTAAAACAAATTCCAAATTCGAGGTTCCCGGTGCCAATGCTTGGGTGGACGATTAGGTTATTTAAAGTTTGATGACTTTAGGACCGTCGTTTTTTCACTATGCGAGAAACATACAAACCTTCATGCAGATTTTTTTTCGTTATATAATTTCTTTAAATAATATTTGGTGGCAAGAGTTTGAAAAGGGATTCAGCCTGTTAGTGATTCAACTCAAAACCCCGTTTTGAGACTAATATCACTTCTAGGGTAGCCCTCCTTTCGGCTAAAAATAATTTTAGCGTCCATTGTTTTCTTATATTTAGCTTTCGAAAATGACTTGGATAGAATAACTGTCGTAAGTAACTACAAACTAGCTAGTATTCCTAGCAAATCCTCCATGAAGGCATTTCTTCCTTAGAAGACAGATGTCTTTTAGGTACACTGCGCAAAAAGGACAGTTCTATATCTCCCGTTCTACTGGGCCAATTGATGAAATTCAAATTGCGTTTTTCATGTCTCAAAAACGTGAATTAGGATATGTATTAGATTTATATACAGCGTTGTTCTAATATAGGTATTTCAACATCAAATAGGACTTTTTCTGAAAGGACATCCATTTTTTTTCTTATTTCAATTCTAAGGCTCAAATTACGCCAACTGCCAAGTTTTGCAAAAATCCCACGAGTAATTTTTTTAAAAATTAGCTCTCAAATAACTCCTCAATGTTAATTGAATTCGATATACATTTATTATATCCCCATTTTATTAAACTTATGTGATTTCTTCATTTCACATTTCGATATTTAGGCTCATTCAAAAAAAAAAAAAAAAAAAAAAAAAAAAAAAAAAAAAAATCACCCCTTTTTATGATTTACTTTTAAAATTTGTATTTAAAAATAATTTTTTATATATTTTAGAAAACGATTGTGAATGAAAAACGTTTTAATAATATAATAAATATTTTTAAATATTTATATTATATAAATATCTTTAACCGGATGGATCGGAAAAAAAATGTAATGATAGCACTGACGTAGGAACATTGAGACGTAGAAATGCAGAAATACTAATGACGTAGATACTTGATGCTAAAAGCGTTGACCCATATTTGAACAGGAACAAGTTGAGTCGGATTAAATTCCTTGTTTATTTTAATTCTCATTTGTGGCCACAATCACTTGGCTTTCTACTCATGCCTAACATTTATATTTTTGATAACTGTTGCGATAGGAAGCAAGCACAGCGAAATTACGTCCAAGCTGAAGCGAAAAGTGACGCATCAGTTCAGAGAAAGAAGGGAGGGCGTCAAAAGTTTCAGTTTCATGTTTTGGTTTGCAATTTGATGATTGCTCAAGAAACATCTGTATTAAGGGTTACGTAATTGAATGCTGCAGTTTAGACTTATGGCGTTATTTCTAAAACCGAGAGAGGAAGTTCCGAAATTAAATAAAAAATAAAAGACGTTATAAGGTATTTCTCCCGCCTTCTTAGCATGCCTTCATGGTGTAATGGTCAACACGCTCGATGCCTATTCGAGAAGTCCGTGGTTCGAGTCCCAGTGAGGGCATTGCTTATTTTTCATGATTTCTGCTTCAAAGTAACATTATGTCTCTACAAGGTTATAGCCAATTGAATTTAAAATTTTGATTTAATATGTTTTATATTGGCTAAGAGTATCAATTACGAAATTATCTTAAAATAATTTTATTTCATTTTGTTCTTTAATGATCACTTCAGTTTATCAAAGGAATTAATCTTTATAATCAGTCAAACCGGAATATTCAATAAGCCTGTTTGAATGTAAACAGAATATGGAACACACGCTTTATTTAAACATTTACGGTATATGTATAAAGCATTTATTAACAGTCTGAGTCATTGCATTATTTTCTGAATAAATACACGTTTCAACATGTTCGATACAAATAGATCACCTTGAATATTCGTCACTTTACTTCGGCAGAAACTCATTACAAAGCAATACTTCATGCTTTACCATCACTGTCGAAAGTTAACTGAGAATTTATTTGGCGAGAGCGGGCAAGTAGAGGAAAGTATATAATCCCTTCAGAATCTATTAGATTTACTTTGCCGTACAAGAACATGGCCAATAATTAGGAGACAAAGTAACTCGGTGAAGAATTGGTCAACAGACTAATTAAATAATTTGCTACGGAATTCGCTGGTTTTTATTGATTTGTGCTCTCTATTTACAAGAATTATCATACTTATATTTATAATGTTTACATAGCTTATGTAGGATATAGTGAATTTTAGTAGCATGGTATATCTTCTACAAATGGCTCCTGACGATTTTTGTTAAGCAATTGAAACAAGTTTATTGTTGTATATTTTCGTATATTCCGTTGCATATTGCATCGCATTTTACCTCCAAGCATTTTAAATAACGAGCGATAAAACTGGTGAGAGTGGCGATAGGACTGGTCGCAGTTCAGCCAGTGGTGTTATTTTTGTTCTGTTTCTCTCTACTAAACAACTGTAATTAATTTCTTCCTACTAAACACTTAATTGTTTTTACTCTTATTATTTTCACAATTTGAATAATAATTAATTAGTGCTACCCTCGGATACTAAAAATTTGTTGGAAGCCATTTTGACCTTTCTTATCTTCGTATGACTTTAATCAGCTGATATATTAATTAAAATCTCCGAATGGCAACAGTCTCGAACGCTGGAGATAAAAGTGTTTTATTTCGAAAAGTGTTGCTAACGCTCGCTTTAGAGTCCTAGAATTTATTAATAAAATTTTTAAGTTTTACAAAATGTGAAATAAAAATAACATTGTCAAACATTAAATGTATTATTATTATAATATAAGGTCGTGTTCTGACGTTGCAGAAAGAAAGCGATTTTCTATGACGTCATTGCATGTCGAAAATCTATCTTTAATGTCATCATTTTAGATAGGTAGTTGCTGTTGGGAACGTTTTTGTTTTTAAATTAAGGTAATTGATACGGTAAATAATTGCCACGTTAATTGTTTTATTGATATTCAGAAAAAGTTTTTATATTACATTAAATTTCAATCATGACGTCATATTTACACGTATTAACCTCATGTGTCCAAAGATTTTGTTTCCTGGATTGGCATCAAGAATGTAATTTACGAATTGATTGTTGTTTGGAAATAATGAACTGATTTCATTCATACTGAAAGGTTTTTATGAAATTTCGTTTGTGTATATAAAACTCATAAATTTTGCTTTGGTTGCAGCTAGCAACTTTGCATACAATACATTAAATTAACAATCATTTTTTTTGGTCAGTATTCCAGTACATAGAACTTATAAATATTGCTTTGTCCTTAGCCAGCTCATATGGTTGGCTTGTCCGCTAGTACTTTATAAATTTTGAAAATATTTCAGCTCAACAGCTCAATGAAGGACTATGCAAAACAAAAGACGCAAAATTAATACAATGAAAAAACTTTGAAAAGCCACAGTATATATCGAATAAAGGACTTAATTAACACTTTTTCGTACTTCTATCTCTTTAAAAATCCTTTACGGCTTTTAAGTTGAAAAACGTTAACAGTTACCTTTCTCACTAGCAAATATCAGACATTCATAAATGATATCACAGAAATAGTGTGGAAGAATTTGGTATTTCATTTTAATTCGAGATACCTGACTTTAAAATTCATCTCCAGCCAATCCGAAATTTTTTAACTTTGTTTCATCTCAAGAGTATTTTGAAATACATATATGCAGTTAAAATGCCAGGGTATCAAAAGTTATCGCAGAAAATCTCTGCTTCTTTTAGAAGAGCGAATCCAAAAAGCACATTTATAGATCCATCATATCAAAATTCTATCGTCGTTGTCAAAGCGGCTTTCTCTGAAGAAGAACGTGTAGAATTTAAATGCTAAGAAATTCAATATTCTGTGAATTGTTTTACTCAAATTAATGAGTTCAGCGTTCCATAAGAAAGTCCTAAACATGCGACTCTGTGATTTGTCCTTTCTTCCTCAGAGTTTCGTAACAAACGGTAAAGAATTGTATCTCATTATAAGGCTTTATGCCATTTTCAAGTAAAGAATATGTAATAAGAATAAAGAATAGAATCGCTACTAAACTGTTGTTATATCTTTAATTGTTGATTGAATTAATCATTATACATTAATTATCGGATTAATAAAAAAACAGTAAAAAATTAAGTAAGACACTGAATTAAATATTAAGATAGTGAATAATATATTATACTCTCTTTTATTAACATATGTGTGCCATCCGAAGGGAATTCCTTTTAAGAACTCATTAACCAACACATTTTCGATTGCTTAATTAATTGCTTAACAACTTCTTTTTAGATTTTAACTTTATGCAGCCGAGAATGGCTTACTCTTACAAAGTATCAACAAAGAGATCTGGTTTCAATTCTTTGAAAACAGTCCTTACCGAAATTAACAGTTAAAAGCAAGTTTTCTGTTTTGAATATATTATTACTAAAAAAAATAAAAAATAAAAAACAAATTCGAAAGAGTTCAGATTTTACATTACGCCCAAAGGGGCGTTTTGTGTTAATATTTTGTGTGTTACCTTTATTTATTAAAATCATGTTCTTCACACTTAAACCATAAAATTCAGTTCAACAGCAGTCAGCAGTATCGCAAAATAATTTTAAAATGAGAATATCTTTAGAACTCCCGGTACACAGTCTCGCTCCCTGGCGATACATTTTTTCCCCCGTACAGTGTTGCCATCGCTCGTATTGAAATCGTTGAGTTCGTTCATCAAAAATTCGTTTAAGTGTTACAAAATATGAAATCGATAATAAAACAAATTTCTAATTCCCCATTAGGGCTTCCAGATGCCCATATTCGGTGGAAGAGAACGTTATTTAAAATTTGATGGCCCTAGGTACCTTAGTTTTATCACAATGCGAGAAACATAAATACATTTATACAGATTCTTCATTTTTTAATTTCTTTAAATATAACACAGGGAGGTAAAAATTAGTGGGAACAATTTGGAAAGTAAACCGACATTTATATTAAACCAACGCAAAATGCCAGATGACCACCAGCGGCCGAGCGGTAAAGTCACTGAACACTGGTAGTTCGGTCCGAGGTTCGAATCCCGCGAACGGGCTGGCTGCATGGCTGTTTTAGTGGTTTTATCCATGTCTAACGTGTATACGAGCCGGATTCCCTTAGAAAGTCCACTACGAATGCATCCCTCCCCCTTAGGCTAGATAGCCTTAGTGTGCTTTGCCATAATTAAATACACCAAAATGCCAAAACGAACTTAATAGTCCTTCTAGGCAAACTGGTCATTTGAACTAAAAATAATTAGATATTTTCCGAAAGAAGTTTTTATGTTTCTACGTGAAAACACTGCAGAAAAATTCGGTAAAACAAATCCTGAACAGCCAATTATTGAATTAAATGCAATTAATGGTAATAATGGTGTTGCGAGTTGAATTTTAACCATTATTTTTGCAAATTTTAGGAGATTTAAATTTTTTTAATATAAAATAAGTCTGAGAATTCTAGATCTTTTACCCATTTTTTTTCTTGTTTGCATTATAATTTTCAAACAATTTTACATATTTAAATACACTTAATAGTCTTGTTATTAGAAATAAATCAGAAAATGCAGGACATTCACAAAATGAATAAATCAGAAAATGCAGGGCATTCACAAAATGTATACACCTATTTTAAATTATCATAAAGTCTACGTTGCTAATTGTTTAATTTCAAAACTTAAAAGAATGAACAGAACTGTTTTTTTACGTCTGCCTTTAAATGTATCCTTTATTTGCAAGCAGATATTTTTAAAAAATTGGCATCCCGTGCACATCTTGATCTTGACACGTACTACGTACAAAAGTGCACTCTTTAGTCTGGATTATCTTCACTTGTTTTGGCTTGAAATGCGGTTTTTCAAGTGATAAAAGTTCGAAATGTGCGAAATTGCGATCATAAAATTCCTGTTTCATGATTCACTTGGCTCAGACCTATTTAAAGTCTGATGAGAGGTTTCAATCAACATTATTTCATAATATGAAGAGTCATATCTGTTGTTTTCCACCACATTTCCGCTAAGACCTTTTGAAGAATTATTTCTACTTCTAATTTCTCTTTAATTCGAGTAATAGTAAGTCGTTATTTAACTGAGTATTGGTAAGCGCCACTTGTTAGTTTAACAACACTTTTATTGTTAAAACTTTTATTGTTAAGAGGCATTAGGTTACTTCTGAAGTGGGAGGCATGAAAAATGAGCAGTGCCTTCGCCGGGACTGGATCCCGGATCTAACGAGTACGCGCCGATTGTGCTAACCGTTACGCCACGAAGGCATGCAGAAAGGAAGGAGAAAATACCTTATAGTGTTCAAATAGCAGTGTCGAGTACATATAAAATGCATTTGAAATAATGTTATAATATGTTTATTAGTAAACACTAAATACGTATCAACCTAATGTCAACTATTTTCACGTTTTTAAACACATAAGCAAGTACTATTTTTCCTCTGTGTATGTTCTTTAACCTGCATATGCATGTTTCTGAGTTTTCCCTTGATCTTTAAGTTAGTAGTCGAGAA